CATATAACATATTCTTAATTTAAAAGTAAAATAATTGATTATAAATGCATTAATTGAGCTGAAATAATAATTAATATGATTTGTAATTAAAAGTTTATTGAATTGAAATGATATTGAACTGAAATTTAAGAAATTTTCACAATATATCAAAAGTTCACAATGAAAAATTAATTACAATATCATATTTCGTAATTACTATGAATGTAGTTATTGTGAATTACCTCGTCGAAGACATTAACTAATATTGCCACTAATTCTTATGACAATGCTATAGTTAATGTCTTTAAATTTTATGAAAAAAAAGTTCTTGTACCATCTGTTTCAAAAAATTTTCTTTCAAATTTCGTTTCCTTACCAACTCTGTTTCCTACTTTACCTTTAACATCTTTAATTCACAAAAAATTACTTTAAATGATATTTAATTAATTTTTATACAATAATTTTATTCTTAATTCTTTATTAAAAATTTATCATTAAAAATAATTAAAAAATATAAAAAATATAAAATGAATCATAACATAAAAGAACTTTTTAAAGAATAGCAGTCATTTCAAAAATATAATAAAAATTTTATTTAAGCAAAAAAAAATATGGAACCTTCAAATTCACAGTAAAGTCGGAAAAACCAAAAATTACAAAAGAAGAAAAAAATCAAACATTTCAACAACAAATATCATTAAAGACAAAACTTTTCTATTCAAAATTGCAGCTTTCAAAATTGCATTTCTCATCATTGTTTAATCGTCAAGAAAAAAAAAACGAAAAACAAAAAATGTAATTCTCACTTCCTTACGAAAATTCAAAAATAATTGCAAATGTTTTCAAGTAAAAAAAAATGATAAAAATGAGAAAACAGGGGAAAAAAAAAATTATTCTAACCATAAAACCAAATTCATTAAATGCAAAAATGTTAAAAAAAAAAAATTTATAACAGCCATCGCTCTTCAACTACGTACCAACCAACATATATAATAGCTGAAAATACTGTGAAACCAGTAATTCTGTTATAATATTTACAATCACATAATCATCATGTTATCAAACACTTTAAATATATCTAAGAGAATTTAGGAAAACAGAGAGAGAGAATTTTTTTTTAATATTTTCAACTAACTTGATTTTGATACTATAGCATAGCATTTGCATTAAATTGAGGCAAAAATATTACTGTCATAACACAGCTGATGTATAATGTGGTGGTGAGAAAAGAAGCAATATTAAAAAAAGAATAAAATATCAAGGATTTCTGGCTTTTTGGTTATCCAAGATTTAACATTATTTTTTGTTCTTTTTTGCTATTTTTTCAGTGTTGAACTGTCCTTTTGTTTCACTTTATTTAATTTTCATTCATTTTTTTTACCCTACTTTTCCATTCAAATTTCATTCAAACGATGAAAATTTTATAAAATAAATTGTTTGTGATATGATTTCTATTAAAATTATCATAAAAGAACAAAAAAAAACAATTTTCTTTTTATTTGATTTTCTTTTTAAATTTTCTGCAAAAAATTCTTCATATTGCATGTTATAATTATATAAGAAAAATATGTAATTATCATTTTTCTTTTACAATTTATTTTAGTTCATAAGTGAATAACAAAGAAAATTCAAGGAAATTTTGAAATTTGTAATAATTTTAATTAATTATGAAAAATTAAAGTGCAAAATTATTACTTTTTTTTTTCTTCTTAATATTGTTAGTGAGTAAGTGTTAAGAATGGTATATTAATGCAATAAATGAGTGTCACATTTTGCACTTTGTTCACACTTTCATTCACGTCGCAGTACGCTATAAAAATGACAATTTAATTGCAATGAAATCTAATGCGAATATAAACAAAAGTAATTTTAACTTAAGATTTCAATATTTTAGTCTATTATCATAATAATTTTTGGCCATTTATTAAATAATTTACTGTTACTAATTCTCAGGCGAAAATTACAAAGGAATTTGTTTTGAGAATTTTATTATTTTGTACCATTAATTAAGGCACAATTAAATGAAGAATTTAAAGTGATTTCTGAGATTTACTATACAATATGATTGATCACATTAAATAAATCACATTTAATGCTAATCTGAGATTACCACCAATCACTACCAATTAACTTATAAGCTTGACCTATATACATATGAACAGAAATTAATTCTCAATTGTATTGAAATTATAAGTAATAAAAAATTATTTATAATTCTTATCTCATTTCTGTATATATTACCAGACAATTTAAATAATATATATTATGAATACATATACATATATATATATATATTATATTATAACTAATTTGATATCGAAAATTTTTGATTGAGTGATAAATTAAAATGTAATTTTATTTGAAAATAAAAATACTACCCCAATTTTATCTCTCTACTCACTTCTCTAAAATGACCTCCTCTCTTTCATCTCTCCAATATACTAATCACAATATATAGTTATAAAGAAATGAGAAATGTCATTTTAAAATCTTTATGGAAAATTTATAGCTTTTCTCTCTTGCAGTTAACATCAAATGAATACAAACGATATTTAAATGATAACAGGTCTCATAGCTGCTATTCTTTCTCTCATTCATTTTATTTGTATACCCTAAAGAATGGAATAAGAAATCAAAATTATATATTTAAGCCAATAATATACATAAATCATTTTATAATATGAAAAATTTATTTTTTCTTTTTTTGAAATCACCATTGTGTATATAAAATAAAAAAAAGCCCTTTTAATATTATAACAAATTTTAATTTGAAATAATGATTGACAGTTTTTTTATACTTCGATTATTATATTTAAGCTAAATATTTAACTATAAACAACAGACACTCTTATATGATGAAAAATCTACTAAATATTTAGAATTGAAATGCTTCTTTTTTTATAGAAATAAAAAATCAAATTAAATAAATATGACAAAATATTTTTAAATCTACGATTTTCAATAAATCTAGGAATAAATTTAGGATTTTTTCTTTTAGAAAATTTTATAATATAATCCATGACTTACATATTAAGTTAAAATTATAATATTAAGGATTTTTCTAAGATAATTTCAGTATAAGATTTCTAAGTTTACATCAGAAATGATTAATTACACATTGTATATAATATAAAAATTGTTATATAAAATGCATATAACAATATTAATGTATTTATAATAGTATGCGAAAAATTGAATATTTTAAACACTTAATACTCAATTCAATATATTTAAATAAAATGAGATTGACTTTGATGAGACCATTAGGAAAATTTTTTAGAATTATGCAATATAAGATTAACTTGAAGGCTTCTGTCAAAATATAATCGTATATAACCAGAAATCACATTGAAAAGAAGCGAATAAAGCAAATAAAGCGAATCTAGGATCAAATTGGAAAAATTTATATTTGAATATCAAATATCGGTCTAAAATTTGAATGTTCAATTTAAAATTGTAATAATAATGAACTATAAAAGCTTGAGTGCTCTAATTATTGTATAACTCAAGAGTCAAGACTATTCTCTACTCGATCTTTAATAATTTTTTGGAAAAAATATTTTAAATTTTAAACAATATTTCTTATATTAAATATTACTAAATACGATATGGGTTAAATTTTATGCTCAAAGAATAAGAGAGGGTGATAGAGGAGGCACAAAAGCACTTGCACAAAATTTTCTGGATCAAAAATGTTATTAAATAAAATTATATTTTTTCTTTTATATATATTTTTTTTCCATCTTATATACTTACATAAAAGCGTTCTCGTTTTATTTACAAAAAGAAAACAAAAAATTCAAGCTCACATATGCACGTTCATAAAGTTAATGGGAAGGACATTTTTGCAAATGCCTTTTATCATTATTATATACATTTTATGTAGGCACATGTGTATATATATAGTATAGTGCAGTACACACTTTTCAAATCATTTATTTTCAATATTTTCTGATTGAATATGTTTCCTTCACATCATTTTTATTATATGACTTCTTCCTGTACCGTAATAAAAATGGATTCAATTTTTTCTTTTTTTTTTTTTTTGCTGTTAGTTATGGTATATGAATGTGAATTTTAAATAAAAAAAAAAAAAAGCAAATTTTTTTTTTTTAAGTGAAAGAAATTTTTTTTCTTTTTGGGAATAGTATTATAAGCTTTAAGAAATATTTTATCGTGTGGTATAAATTTTGAGAATTTAAAGGATTAAAGTAAAAATGTAGACTAATATCCGCTTAGTACATTCCTCAATTTATTTCGTTTTATAAAATTGGAATTTGTGATTATAAATGAGAAATGCGAGAAGAAAAAAACTGAGTAATTTTGAATAATTAAGATTTTAGTAAATTAAAATTAATTGAATTTAAAATTAAAAGAGAATTTTAATAGCAGTATAGAGATTTTATTAAATTCCATCTTAAAACACCCTGACTAATCAACACTTCAAGAAAAGTAACATTATCATATGAGATATTATTCAGTTACCTTCTATTACCAGGGTAACACCAGACCATTATTTTTTTTTTTAAATTTTTAATTCTCAAAAAACTTTATTATTGAAAATTATATAAATTCAATTAGAATTACACCCTAGTTATTAGCAAGAAAGGAATACTGCAATAACAAATGTAATTTTACACTTTAAATTGTAATATATTGGGTAATATTACAACACTTTGATGTAAAATTAAACAAAACATAATTTTTTAGACAAGTTTTACTCTTTATAGTTGTTTCAAATAAATTTTCGCTCTTGTTAACCTTACACTTTGCGTGAATGTATTTTGACGACTTCTTAAAACTACTTTTTAGAGACCAAAAATATCACTACTTAGAAATGTAAAATAATTCCTAAAAATAGGGTAAGTATTACCTATTTGTTGCCAGAACTAACTATAGTTTTCATATTTTCTGTTTTTTTTTTTTTCGTTAACATTAATATTTACGCTGACACAACAACTAAATTTCCTTTTCAATCCTTATTTATTTTATTTTAATTTTTTTTTTTTCATCTTTTTTAGGGTTGCTGTCTTGGGACGTGTCAGATTGTCATATTGATCTTGAAGATGAACTTAATACAATTACACAACATGCACCTGAGGGAGAGGAAGCAAGATACGGTAAGTACATGCTTTCTTTTTTTTTGTTTTTTTTTTTGTTATAGGTTTTCTTTTTATTATTATTATTATAAATTTTCTTGTATTAAGGATGAGAAATTATGTTATGAATATAAACTAAAAAAAAAAAAAAAATTTTTTTATGAAAAAATTTCGTTTATTTTTTAACGAATCGTGTTGAATAAATTTCATCTTGTATGGAAAAAGGAAAATAGTTTAGAAAAATTTTTAATGCAAGTCACCATGATTTTTGGTTTTTTTTTTGGCTTAAATATATTTTGTGTCTTACTGTGTTTTTAGCAAATATTTTCTTACATATATGCTTCGGTTATATGTAGTATACAAATTTATACCGTTATGTATTCCGAATAAAACTTTAAAGCCCACTGATTGTGCTTGATGAAGTTAATAATCCTTTGGAAAATTTCCTTTCGGAACAATTTCCTTTTAAAAAAATCTAAGAATTACAGCAGACCAATTATGAATTCTAATGTAAAAATTTTTGTTTTCTTTGAAAATACTTAATAGTTTTCATATGATTAGATGAAAATTAGCTAAACCAGATATTTTTTAGTGTATGGTCTCAAAATATAACAAAATATCGCACTGATTTAAGCAATTTAAGAAAATATGCAAAAAATAAATGAAAAATGTAGGATTTTCGGTATAATTCAAATTCTTTTTTAAAAATCTCTTAATTAATTTGTTATATCCAGGATGAACCATTAAATTTCTGAACTCTTACAATAACTCTAACATATAAATACAATTTTTCTAACAAAATTACAATCGACTACACTCAAATACAAAATTATTGCTCAGTTTTCAAAATTCACCTTTAATTAAGGCATTATGACACTCTCTCATTTTATTCTCAAATGATATCCTTGGATATCATTATGAATTGAAATTTTTTCAACTTTTAATTTTAAATTTATTTAATTTAAGATAAAGCTCAATTATAAAAATATAATAGATTCTCTTATTCAAAGCCTCCTTCTAAAATAAAAAACAAATATCCTAATAGTAATTTTTAAATGTTATATAAACGTAATTCATGTTTGTACATGTATGACATAAATACTTCATAAATCATAATATCCTTTACTATATATATTTAAATACATATATAATTGTTATAATATATATTTTATAACTATTATACACTATATACTTTTCAAATAGATTGTTATAATACAAAGTCTGTCTTCTATATAACAAATTATATTTTGCTATTTGAATTTATGCACAATTTCTCTATATGATACATTGTGTACATATAACATTTAAATTGCATGTATAAGAAAATGTTAAGTACATACTTCATTTACACTGCATATGCATTTTATATATTATATGAGTTTCTCTTTAACATCAGTTGGAAAAAAATTAAATGAGAAATGTATACGTATAACACGTATAAAAATAAAATAAGAAAATATATGAAAGAAAATTATTAATTTCCGGAACTTGTTTCGTTATTGAAATTTAATTTCAAAGATGTAATTTTATATATATACACATACATAGATATTGTAATAAAATTATAGCATGAAATAATATTATAGAAGAGTGAAATTTTTATATAAATTGTATGTAATTTTTGCCTTAAAGGTTTTTTAATTTTCGAAATGAATTTTATATTATATATAATATTAAAAGAGGAGAATTAAAAATGTAATTGTAATTACATTTTTTTTATTAAAATCAAAATAGACATCACTTTTCCCGTAGATTTTAATTAAATATACAGATCTTTAGAGTGCGACCCCATACTTAAAAAATAAATTAAAAAATTTAATTGCAAACAATATGCTCAATTAAGAAGCTAACATTAATTATTTATTAAATACTCTAAATTGAGCTTTAATTATTAATCTCTTAAAATTATTGTGACTGAAGGACTGTTTTAAATAATTAAAGATTTTTACAGAAAAATTCAAGGAACAAGCCAGCCGTAAAACTTGGTATAACTTATAACTCATTAAAATTTTGTTCTACATACACATACAATTAAGAATGGCAACTCTCATTTGAAACTCTCCAATAAAATCTCCAAAATACATTGACGCCATCTTCTACGTTTCGCCTAACAATTATGATTGCAAACTATTAAAAATTTTTAAAAAATTATTTTTATATTCTTTGTAAAATATTTTACTTTTTTAATTTTTAAACTAGTTTATGAAATCAATTGAATACATCAAGTTTAAATATTTTTTTTTCGAAAACAAATTAACAAATAAAACACTTGAATTTTCTAAAAAAAAATATTTTATTTTCAAAATCAATTTGCTTTTGATTTTAAAAATCATAAAGCACTATTTATATGAGTATACTTCATTTCTATATTTTGTTAAAATTGCAATAAATTGATTTTTCAATTAAAATTTAATTTCAAATAAAGTTTTCATTTTTTTTTTTTGATTTGATTTGAAGTTTATAGAAATATTTCAAAATTAAACTGTTTTTTGATATTTCCGAAATATTTTTATTATTTTGTAGAAAATAGAAATTTAATATTTTATTTTTTACCTTGAAAATATACAGTTAATATAACAGTTTTATAATTGTATAACAGTTTTGTATACAAAAAATTATTTTAAAATATCACATAACAAGTTCTCGAATATAAGAGAAATGAGTATTGGTATTGAGTATTCGAGTGGAAATAAAATTAAAAATGTCATGATATGAAATACAAAGTGAGTACATTAAATGAAATAGAAATTGAGAAAGCAATAGTTTTAAAGAATTTTAACAATTTTAAAATGTAAGAATATTTGAGCATGTTCTGTCAGTCTGTGACTTCAAATAAATTAACCTATTAAAATTACTACATGTGCAACAAATATAGTAAATGTAGTAATATACTTCAGTTTTATTTATGCTTTCAATATCATGCGAATGCTGCTGTCGTCGTTGCCAAATGTTAACATATCAATCTGTAATATGTATCGTTTTCAATGGCCTTATTATTTTCTTGCCGTAATATTTCGTATTCATTAACGCATTTACTTAAAATATACTCACTAAATAATATGTTAAGTGGAATAAATCGTGTTATATCTACCTTACAAGCTGCAATGCCCAAAACTTAACTTAATTGAACTTTACTACTGCTGAGAGTTAATGTTAGATTACAATTGATTGTGCGATTTTGTTTAATGAAGGTATAATATTAGTATTTGCGATAGAAAAATGAAAATGATTTTCATTGAATTGAGTACGTTTCATTTTAAAAAAATTAATGAATGCCAAAAAAATTACAATTTTAATTAAATTTTGGTAGTAGAACAAGAAAATAATTTGTTATATTGAATTTAATTAGCCTACTAAGGCTACTGAAATAGGAAATCCGACTCTGAATATAATTATAATTCATATAACAAGAAAATTATAATCTGAAAATTTAAGAATTTGAATAATTTAAAATTAAAAACAATTTCCGATTTATTTTTCAATTTTTAATTCAATTCGATTGAATATTCAAGAAATACGAAAATTAAAAAATATAAGTACATTAAGTTTTAATTACAGCGATATTTTATTTAAAAAAAAATAAAAAAAAATTAAAAAAATTTATGGTTAAATTTTTATTTCCTTTCAATTTAACTCTTGAATACTTTCATATTTTTTTTTTTCTTTTTTAATATTTTTCACTTTATTTAATTACTTTTTTACTTTATAAACAATGCACAACCATATAGATGTGTATATATATATATAACATTGCACATAAATACAATAAATTGTGTATAACAACTGAAAACTATGCATCATAAATCATACAACATGTACGAGCGCACACATAGTGTTTTTTTTTTTGTTTTTAGAGTGAAACCCAAAAATAATCAAACAAACAAGCGTATAATTTTAACTTTGCTTTATTTTTGTACTCTATATTTTGCATTCGCATACTTCATATTTCTTTAGGCTCTCAACTTTTTAAGGTCACTAAGAAACACTCTTAATAAGAATACACACTATGAGCTCATGTTATATATACATATATACAAATATAATAATATTTAAGTATATATAAATAAAATATGTGTGCTTAGTTTATATATATGTATATATATATAAAACAACAACCAACCACTACGATCACCTTTTTTTCTGCCACTTGTGTAACCTTCATTTCAATTAAAAGCACTTTTATAAAACAAAAAAAAAAAAATTCCACTGTGTTATACAATATTAACGTTAACAGAATCCAAATATGATGAAGGCAAAAAAGGAAAAGCAAAAGAAAAATAAACTTGCAAAATGGTTGTTATTTTCTTTAACATTTTTCTTTTTTTATTGCAATTTTTATTTTTATTTTTTAATTGTATTTCCACATACTTATGTGTGCAATGCATATAGTTCTTTAAAATAGCAAACTTTAAATAAAAGGAACAAAAAATATAATAAAACGCAAATTAACAGAAAGTAAAAAAAACAAAAAAATGTTTCTTTTTAGAATTTTCATTTAAAAAATAAAGAAATTTTAAAAATATTCTAATTAACTAAATTAAGTCTAATTGTTTATTGAAAAATCTATTTTTTTAGCTTAATCCAATACATAGACTTTTAAAAGTTTAATTGGATCTCCTGCATTCATAAAAAAAAAAAAACTCATATATGCCTTCGATTAATCTCAAATTCAATATGGGAATCAAGGTGTTCTGAAATTAGTTTAATTCAATATTATTTTGTTTGGGAGCACAAGAAACTATCGAAACCTTATTTATGAAATTCAAACAAAACACAAATTTTTCATATAAAGTCCCTAAAAATCTACAATTTAATTAGAACAAGTAATTTTTGCCAAAAAAATTCTAGTTCCTTGAATTAATTCTATTGCTATTAAAAATTTAGTACTTACTAAATTTGAAAACTGACGTATAAATTACTCGTATACAATGGAATATGACTTACTGCAATTTTTAAAAAACCCCAAACACCGAAATATTATTAGCGACATCTATAACTGAAGTAATTCTTTTCCTGGTGCT